TGTGTGTGTGTGTGTGTGTGTGTGTGTGTGTGTGTATACACACTAGCCAATTGCCAGTCAAGAATGATGGGGGTGGGGGGAAGGGGGCTGGGATAGAGTGCTGCCACCTAAAGCTCCATGCTGCCGCTGTTCTGCCTCTTGCAGGGAGCATGGTGGGGAGCCAAGGGCAGCAGCTCTCTCACCCTATGTCCGGTCCTCCATGTGGGTTCAGAATCATTGCAGCACTCCCCCATGCTTGGAGCACTCCAATTGGCTGTTCCCATCAGCCAATCAGAGTGAAAACAAAGTGTTACAGACAGACAGACAGATGTAGGCTTTTATAATATTAGAATCCTCTAGCAAAAGCTTTTCCTCACACACCTTAAGCCACATTTAAAGCCCAGGCACCAGTTACAAGAAATGCAACCACAGATCCGCACTCCCACACACCCATCCACAGTCCTTTTCCTAGCCCAGGAACAGGCAATTATTTCAGGCAGATGGCTGCTTACTGAGTTTTGGCAAGCTGTTGAGGGCTGCCCCTTGACAGGTGCCCCGCCCCTTGATCACCATCTTGTGACCCTAAGTCCCACCTCTTTACCCCTGACCTTTGACACCAGAAGTCCTTCCCCTTGCCATTGGAAATACTCCTTTCAACAAGGGGTTTTGCTATGTCGAAACCAGCAAAGTACAAAATTATATTCTAAAAATCGAACATCTACAACATTCATTCATTTGATTTCAAAAAATATTTTTGTCCTGGTTTTCATCTGTGTGTGTAGTGCAGTGATTCCCAACCTTTTCAGACCATGGACAGGCAAACCGCAGACCAACAAACTGTGGATCAGCATACTGCAGACCAGAAGTGACCAGCATATTGTGGACCGGCAACCAACCCTTTGTGGCCCAGTACCAGGCTGCAGCTCGGGGATTGGGAACCTTTGGTCTAGTGTACATAGATGTACAATGAATAGCTTAAAATGGAGTGCTACTCTGGTATATTGTGGAGAGGTGGAAGGCATGGAGGGTGCGTATAGTTTGTGGGGGGTGTAGGTATGTGGGGGACAGCATGGGTGTGGGGGGTGGATGGTCATCATTGACCACAAGATGAACATGAGCCTGCAATGCGATGCTGCGTCTAGTAAAGCGACCAAAACGCTGGCTTGCATCCATAGATGCTTCTCGAGCAAATCCCGGGACATCATTCTCCTGTTGTACTCGGCCTTGGTGAGGCCGCAGCTGGAGTACTGCATCCAGTTTTGGGCTCCACAATTCAAAAAGGATGTGGAGAAGCTTGAGAGAGTGCAGAGAAGAGCCACGCGCATGATCAGAGGTCAGGAAAACAGACCTTACGACGAGAGGCTGAGAGCCCTGGGGCTCTTTAGCCTGGAAAAGCGCAGGCTCAGGGGTGATCTGATGGCCACCTACAAGTTTATCAGGGGTGACCACCAGCATCTGGGGGAACGTTTGTTCACCAGAGCGCCCCAAGGGATGACGAGGTCGAATGGTCACAAACTACTTCAAGATCGTTTCAGGCTGGACATAAGGAAGAATTTCTTTACTGTCCGAGCCCCCAAGGTCTGGAACAGCCTGCCACCGGAGGTGGTTCAAGCGCCTTCATTGAACACCTTCAAGATGAAACTGGATGCTTATCTTGCTGGGATCCTATGACCCCAGCTGACTTCCTGTCCTTCAGGCGGGGGCCTGGACTCGATGATCTTCCGAGGTCTCTTTCAATTCTAATGTCTATGAGTCTATGATAGGGGTGGAGGTGTGGGGTGAGGGAGCATGTGGGTGTGTTTGTGGATATGCGGGGTGTGGGTACATATGGGGTTCATGGGGTATGTGTTGGGGGAGGGTGGCTGGGATATTTGAGGGGATGTGGGTATGGGGGTCTATATGTACAGCAGTGTGAGGGTGGCTGTGGGTGCATGTGTATGGTGGTGTGTGCGTGTGGGACTTATCCTGCAAACACACACACTCTGCCCATCCCCCACACACACATACTGCCCCTCCCCCACACTCTGCCCCTCCCCAACACACTACGCCCCCCCCTACA